ATTTGGCTTTCTCAGTCTCAAGTGCCCTTTTATCTAATAAACACATAAGAACATGGATTATAACAGATGTGACGTCTACCTTACAACGTTTTCTGCATAAATACAGATTTGTGCATGAGCTTGTTGCTTGTTGACCAAAGCCTGATTCAGAGAAGCCAGCATATTTCTTGGCCTTTGGCATGGCTTTGTGGGAGATCTGCAGTACCCTAGCCCTGGGAGAGGACAGAATTGGTTCTTAGAAAGGAACTTTGCTAATAATGTATGAGCATCTTTCTTCAAAAATTGTGATCTTGGGGGAGGTTGCCTATGTGCCTTTTATTTAAATCTATACTAAAATATCTTTTTGTTGTTGTTTTGTTTTTTTGTTTTTCTAGACAGGGTCTCTCTTCGTAGCTAGCTGTTCTGGAACTCACTCTATAGAACAGGCTGGCCTCAACTCAGAGATCCACCTGTCAAGTGCTGGATTTAAAAGTGTGTGACACCACTGCCCCACTTAAAATATCTTCTTAAAGCTCCAACTCTACTTCAAGAACAAAACAATATGCTTTTTGCTAATGTAAGAAACCCTAGGGCTGTGGATATAGCTCAGTGGCAGACTATTTGCCTAGTATATGTGTTGCCTGCAGTCCATCTCAGTACTAAGGTGATAAAAGAAAGTCTAGATTGTTACCATATATGGTAGGGAAAAAAAAAAGAGAGAGAGAATATTAGATTAGGAGTTAGAAGGGATTTGAATTTGAGTTGTATCATACTGTCCACAATTCCCAAGCAACTTCACACACACACAGGAGTGTGTGTGAGTCCGTGCACGTATGTGTATTTAAACTTGTATGCATAAGCACATACAATAGAGACACTAAGCATTTGAGTACCACACTAAGAAAAGAGAAGCCAATGAAAGATATTGTAAAAACAGAAGAGTCGTAAGTTGTCAAGAATTAAGGAAGTGTCATACCACAGAAGACTGACAGTGAGAATGGCTGGAGTAATGTATAGGTAGATTAGTGATCATAGCTCATTCAAGTCTGTGAAGATGGTAGATTTATAGAAACTCGAAAGAAATTTCCAGATTTTTGACAGCTCATCTTAACACTGGCTACACCTAAAAGGATCAGGTTAGTCATTTGGTATTTCTTCCCAGCCTTCTGTTGATGTCTACTGACGCAATGAAAATTTAAAAAGAGATTGGTATCACACCTGCACATTCCTCTGAAATCTGAGAAAAAGAATATGAGCAGCCAGATGGGAACATCAGTGCCTTTGCAAAATGAAAAGCAAGGTCACTTAATTCAAAGAGCCCCATTTAATTTAACTCCATGAATCATTAATTTCCCATCTCTATTGTATTGACAGCAATAATAATCAGAAGATGCATCCAGAGTTAAAAGCCAGAGTCAAGCTTCTAAATATTAGAATTTATCTAAAGTTCTTTTTGGTTTTTCGAGACAGGGTTTCTCTGTGTAGCTTTGGCACTCGCTCTGGAGACCAGGCTAGCCTCGAACCCACAGAGCTCCGCCTGCCTCTGCCTCCCGAGTGGTGGGATTGAAGGAGGGCACCACCAATGCCTGGCTTGTTTTTGTTTTTCAAGACAGGGTTTCTCTGTGTAACAGCCTTGGCTGTCCTAGAACTTGCTTTGTACATTAGGCTGGCCTTGAACTCACAGAAATCTAACTGCCTCTGCCTCTCAAGAATTGGGACTAAAGGCATTCCCCACCCTTCTAATCTGTGTGTCATTAGGAAAAGGATGATTATAGGAAATAAGTTAGCCTTATTTTGTAAAAGAAACTGTTTTATAGCTGATTCTTAAATTTTTTACTGTTTATTTGGTATGGGGAAGGGATCATGCTCACAAGCCATGTCATTTATGTGAAGGTAAAGGGACAACTTTTGGGATTTGGAGCTCTTCTACCATGTGGATCTTGCAGATCAAACTTGGCAACAGGCTCCTTTACTTCCTAAGGCATCTTGATAGTCTAGTAGCTGAGTATTTAGATTGAAATGGTGAAGAACATATATATATGTTCATTGTTCTAAACATGAGAAATGTTCGTGTTTATCATTTACTGACAAATCCTGTTTGGTGATTTTTCCTTAGTGATACTAGAAAACCAATCACTTTTATCCCAGTTGTTGTTTCTTCTTCCAATAACCCCAACACTGGATACAGAATGAATCTTTAAAACCCTGTTTTGTACAACTGGTACACCTAGCCCATTATTCACCACAAAGAAGGAGAGAGACAACACTTATGGTTCCAAAGATTTTATTAATTCACCACATAAGCTTTCACTGATCAATCAGGGCTTCAGGACAAGGACTCAGGAGCCTTGTTTCTCCTGACAGCCCTGAGCAGGGGCAGAAGTGGCATTTATAAGCATAAAATTCACTTTTCTTGCCAAGTTACAGTTAAGAGTTTTCACCAATCAGAATTGGGAACTTTCCTTGTGTGTTCCATCATTATCAACCAACAGATTCATTTGTTCTTCTGTTGTTAGGAACAGCCATTATGTTTCTAGAGAACTAAAGATACATAACAACTATGTCTATAGCTTATGGAGGAGATGAGTCAGCTATGGGAAAGTTCTCAGCTCCCCTAGGGCTTGGGAACCTGTACTTTATTTCACCTTGCAGGTAAATGGAGTCTGAAGTCAAAATGGCAGTGCTCAGGCCAGGTGTTTTGCCTGCTCCCTTCACAACAAAAATATAAATACAGCCAGGTAGTGGTGGTACACGCCTTTAGTCCCAGCACTCAGGAAGCAGAGGCAGGTGGGTCTCCGTGAGTTCAAGGCAGCCTGGTCTATAGAGCCAGTTCTAGGACAGCCAGGACTGTTACACAAAGAAACCCTGTCTAGAAATTAAAAGAAAAGAAAAAATATGTATATACAATTTTATTGTCATCATCATTCTATATGTCTGTTACATATGTAGGTACTTATGATATGGAGCTCATGTGGAGGTCAGAAAGCAACCTGTGCAGTCAGTTCTCTCCTTTTATCTCTTTGTGGGAGAGGGGAGAGCAGGCTTTTATTTTTTGAGACAGTGTTTCTCTGTGTGTAGCCCTGGCTGTCCTGGAACTCACTTTGTTGACCAGGTTGGCCTCAAACTCAGAGATCTGCCTGCTCTGCCTCCTGAATGCTAGGGTTAAAAATGTGTACTGCCCAGCTTTCCTTCCATCTTTATGTAGGTTCCAGAGATTAGACTCCAGTTTAAACAGCTAACACTGTACCCACTGAGCCATATCACTAGCCCACAGCTTCTTTATTTAAGCAACAATGCGGTGATATTTTGTTTATGATCTAACAAAGCTTGCCTGAAGATTGGAGTGCAAAGCTAGCCTTAGCCATAGAGGCCAGGCAGTGGTGACTCTCACCTTTAATCCCAGAACTCAGGAGACAGAGGCAGAAAGATCTCTTAGTTCAAGACTACCCTGAGCTACACAAAATTGACCCAGTCTAAAAAAGAAACAGAGCTCACACAAAGGTTGATCTCAGCACTTGGGATCCCACACCTTTAATCCCAGCACTAGAGAGGAATATAAGGTAGGAGAAGACAGGAGCTCAGTGAGTCTGAGAAACACTGCAGTTGGGAGCAGTATGAGGTTTAGTGGATCTCCTCTTCGGTCTGAGCATTGTTAGAGGTGAGAACTCTCCAGTGCCTGGCCACTTTACATCTCTGATCTTCAGCTTTAACCCCAGTATCTGTTTCTGGGTTTTTATTATTCATGCTATACAACAAAGCAAATATTACAATAATCTGACATGAGAAGTTTACTGAAATATTAAATGTTTAGGCTATGGGATTGTTGTTTCTTTATCTTATACTTTTTCTTAGGATGAGTCTTCAGAAACACTTCTGGATGTGTTTCTTCATTGTTTGTGTACATGTGTATGTAGTGTGTGCTGTTGCATAGACAAGGTCTCCCTTTGTGTAGCTTAGTATCATGATGCCCCTGCTTATGCCTTTTGCATGCTAGGATGACAGCCATGTAGCACCATGCCGAACTTGGTTTTTTTTTTATAGCTAAGTATTTGAAATTGTATTTATCAATACTGAAACCTCTTGAATTTGTAGATTTTCTTTTATTTCAAGTACTTAGAGACCTTTCCTTTACCCTTTTTCTTTTCCTCCCTCCCCCTTAGGCAGAGTTTATCTTTTTCTTAGAGCATTTTATTAAAGTACATCTAATTATACAACCCAAGGCTAGCTAGTAATGTTCTGTTTTTGCCTGCATTATAGATTACAGTAGGCAGAGTTTTGCCATCCCACCAATGGCCTCATTTCCAGCCATTGGTAATAGTTAGCTGTTCTTCAGCCCAATGCCAGGGTCTCAACAATCTGCTCAATACCAGTTTTTATACTGTCTTTTCTTTCATACTGCTGCTATAACAAATGTTCCCAGATTTACATGCCTTACTACCATGGGCATTTATTTCTGTTACCTGTGAGATGTCTGTGGCTCTCTGGATCCATTAAATATCTCTTCTCTGTAGCGTAGTTAGTTTTAGATCAGATGGTGAAGTTAGAATTATATCCTTTGCCCCAAACAAGGTAATATGGTTAGGCCCAATGTTCATACAGTAGAAAGTATTTGTTTCTCTAAAGCGGGCTTAAGGACATGTATTTCTCTTCTAAGAAGGAGGTAGAATAGCACCAACTACACACCCACTTCTAGTTTAGGTTGTATTTCCTAAACGAGTGTTTCTAGATTGCTGCTGTCTTAGCTAAAGATAAACATTGGAAATCAGCAGTACCCGAGAAGTGTATCACTTGCTGGTGAACACATGATTGTGTCCTCATGGGGGAGGGGTGTGCAGAGGACACTGGGATGAACTGTAATTTGGCATAAAACTAGGAAAGCATGTGTTCTGGTCCCTAGAATTATTTTTGCTTCAAAAAGTGGAACTTGGTTTAACAGAGAAAACCTGAATATAAGTATTTTAATATCGTCACAAGACATAATTTCCAAAAATTTAAAATGAACACACACTTTATTTTTACAGAGATTTGCCGCAATATGGACAGAAGCAGTGGCAGTCATACTTTGGAAGAACTTTTGATGTTTACACCAAACTATGGAAATTCCAGCAGCAACATCGGTAAAGAGTTTCATAGCTAAAGGGCAAAAGGGGGCATTGTATAATTGTATGTTAACTACAGTTCTAACCAAGTACAAGTCTAGTGGTTATTTATTTGTTTGTTTGCTTATTTGTTGGTTGGTTTTTGGGAACTAAGTTCTTCTGTGTAGCTCTAGCTGTCTTGGAACTTGATCTGTATGTAGACCAGGCTGGGATGTGAGTACGATCTGTCTTCGACCTCTGTCACCCCATTGATCTCCAGGGTTGTAGACCAGGCTGGCTTCAAACTCACAGAGATCCACCTGCCTCTGCCTCCCAAGTGCTGGAATTAAAGGTGTGTGCCACCATGCCTGGCTTTAGTAGACATTTAATAAATATTTTTTAGCTAAGTGTGATGCTGCACACCTGTAATTCTAGTACTTAGGAGATGGAAATAGGATCAAGAGTTTAAGCAAACCCTCAACCACACCTGTAATTCTAGTACTTAGGAGATGGAAATAGGATCAAGAGTTTATGGTTACCCTCAATTACAGTTTTTCAAGGCACGTCTTGGCTACATGAAATTCTCTCACTCCAAAAAACAACCTAGGCTGGAGAGATGACTTAGTAGGTAAAGTGTTTGTCTTACAAATGTGAGACTGCAATCGAAGCAATTAAATGGTGGGATGGGAAGCAAAGACAGAAGAGCCCCTGGCTAGCCTGCATGCACAATGGTAACCAAGAAGGTGAGAAGCAAGGACTGACCCCAAGGGCTATCATCTGACTGCCACACTTGAGCTGAGCCATACAGACCTGCACTTATACAATCACATGTTCATGCACACATGTATGCACAGATTGTATACACATATACACACAAAGATGTAACACAAATCATTCAATCAATAGAGAAACATTTTTAAATGTAGTTGAATGGTTATGTTGCAATCTTGTAATTCATAAGCTGTACTAATTAGATGATATCTTTGAATTTGCAGAACTGGGTATCTTTGAAATTTATATTTTGTTATTTCTATTTTTTTTGTCTCCTATGTAAACAGACAAGTCTTGGATAATCGATATGGCTTTTTGTGGTGGCAAATAGGGGAAATCGCTTCCAAGATTGGGCAGCTGTATTACCACTATTAGTAAGTGAATTACACATGGAAAGGAAAAAGTGTTACTTTGGCTAAAACAAAGCATGTAGGGGAGAGGACAGTGAGTTATAGATGAAATTTTGTTCAGGCAAGATGGATCAAGATGGCACCATGAAATGGCCTTGCATAAAACAAGCAGTGTTATTTATGTCAGGTGTTTTAAGTCTTGATGGTGTGTAGAGACATACCACATGTATGTTTGAGTGTTCACAGTGTTCTTTAAACACTCATCCTAGTTGGTTGTGTTTGAAAAGTTATGTGAGGTAAATTGACAGTTGTTTGCATACTTAGAATAGGCACATCTGTTTAGTCCTACCTTGGAGTGAAAGAAAGAAGAGATCTCCTTTACAGATGTAAATCTCAACACAAAGTAACATTAGTGACAAAGACTTGGGCCTTTTAGAATTTAAAAGGTTTGGGGATACACCTTTAATCTCAGGTAGGCAGATCTCTGTGAGTTCCAGGCCAGCCTAGTCTGCAGAGTTCAGTACAGCCAGAGTTACACAGAGAAACCCTATGTGTAAAATAAAACAAAAAGATGAAAAGTCCTCATCTTCGTGGTGTTGGCATGCCACTCAGAATGCTCACCACTAAAATTCCTCTTTGCTAGAACAAGATCTTCAAATCCTTTGTTATAGTGCTAAGAGTAAATGACTGTTGGAGTGTTCATCCCTGAAGAAGACATGTATACCATCCCTCCAGGCTCGGAAAACAGCAATTATTGAAGAGGAGCAAGAAGAAAGTATCAGCCTGCAGATAGGGAGAAGGGCTAGGACATGCCATCTTCTGGATAAGACACAGCTATTGTAATCATGAACCCTCAACATCTACAGATGTCTACACTAGGTCTGCACTTAAAAGGGCCCATTAACAGTCAGACCTTGATGGAGGAAAGGTCAGGGGGCTCTACTCACTACTGAGCCATTTTCTACTAATACATAATTCTATCAGTACTGCAGTGGTATACTTACTGGCAACCTCACCAGGATCCAGTAGATAGTCCCAATATAATGGTTGCATATATGGTCCTGGGTAAATTAAATGAGTCACACAACAAAACCATGTCATTAATATGGGAAAGGAACAGGAGGAAATAAGACTTGATAGGAATGGAAAGGTGAGAGAGAGGAGAGAGTAACCAGAATGCATTGTGTGTGTGTGTGTGTGTGTGTGTGTGTGTGTGTGTGTGTGTGTGTGTGTCTGTCTGTCTGTCTGTCTTAATTGTCAAGGCATTAAATAAAATTTTTAAAATAAATTATTTTTGAAAGCTTTTTACTAAAACAGACCACATAGCTCATTAGCATCCCCCAAAGGGTAATATGGGTTAGTAAAGAGGAAAAAGGGAAAGAAATGGGCCAAAGTTCAATTAATGGAGGATTAGGAAGTGGTTATAGAAGGTCTAGACCTGGGAGCAGATCTTCTCAAGTAGAATGAGAATGGCATGTGCTTTGGTTGGCTACCAAAAAGCTTAGGAACAGCAGGGAAATATTTTATTATTGCTGTTGTTGCTGGACAGTTGAAAGATAACATGATTAATACTTGGCAGACTCAGAGTTAGGACAGTCATTCGCATTGCCTGTGTAGAGTAGGACAATTTGAAACAATGTACACATGTCTCATGAGGAATACATCCAGTTTGGGTCATATTAAACTTTTTTCTTATAGTTTACGAACATCTGAGACCAGCTATCTGAATGAGGCTTTCTCCTTCTACTCTGCCATCAGACAGAGATCATACTACTCTCAAGTTAATAAAGAGGACAGGTATGTGTCAGCTGTGCTTTCAGAAAGATGACAAGACGTCCATATGGAAATTGTTAAAAAAAAAAAAAAAAAAAAAACTTTTTCCTTTTATTACTGTATGTGTGTCCATGTGCACATGTGAATGTCAGAGTACAACTTTTAGGAGGAGTCAGTCTCTACTTCAACCACATAGGTTCTGAGAATCCCACTCAGGCCTTCAGGCAAGTACCTTTATCCACTGAGCCATCTTGTCAGTGAGGTTATTTCTTTATGACGGATGTAGGTTGCACAGGTTTCATAGGGAAGAAAGAATTCTAAAGCTAGGCTTAACTAATGTCTTTATTATGTCTAGCGCATGTAATCTTTACTGATATGTCTTCAAAAGCCTTTGACAACTATGACATACAACCGGAGAAAAGACTGCTAGTTTTCTTTGAATTTTCTTTTTTAAACCTACTACTGTGAAATGTGGTGGCAAACACTGTTAGTTATAGCACTTAGGAAGCAGAGGCAGGTGATCTCTGAGGGTTGAAGGTCAGTAGGGCTATATAGTGAGACTGTCTCAAAAAAGTCCCAAAAGACAGAAGTACAGTATGTTTTGGCCACGTTGCCCAATTGAGCACCACCTCTGTTTACTTCACAGAGTCAGAAAATTCATCAGTTCCCAATAGAAGTCTGTTGAACACTTGCCATGTATATGATACCTTGACAAGTGCTTGGGAAAGGGAAAGGCAAGTGAGTGCCAGGGCCTATCTGAAGTTGGTCTTCTGGTGAGGTGGTAGATACTGGGGCAAAGCTCACTGGCAGCCGTCAGATGAGGGGGCAGCTATATAAGAAATGGAATCTGCTGCAGGGTTTTACTGCATTTCAAGGATTGTTGAACTTTCAGGCATAAAACATGTAGTGTTTCCTCCACTCCCAGAAACAGGACTCACAACCAACGTATAGTAAAAAGATTGGTCTTTCTTAGTAGTAGAAGGAATAACATGAGTTTGATGTTTTTCTTATTTTATTTTACTTTATGTTTGGTTTTTTGAGACAGGATTTTTCTGTGTAACAAACAGCTCTGGCTGTCCTGCAAATCACTCTGTGGCCTCAAACTCACAGAGATCTACCTGCCTCTGCCACCTGAGTGCTGAGATTAAAGATGTGCACCACAATTCTTTTCTTTTTGTTTTCTTTTCTTTTAAGATTTTTTAATTTATTTTATGCTGGACATGGTAGTATATGACTTTAATACCAGCACTCTGGGGGCAGAGGCAGGCAGATTTCTGAGTTTGATCCCAGCCTGGTCTACATAGTGAGTGAAAAGTTTCTATACCTCAATAAACCTCTCGGCCAAAGCAGCAATCCACATCAGACCAAATCAAACCGAATTAGAAAAAGCCCACATTTAATGTATACAGCGCTCCTGGATGGCCTTCCAGCCCCCCAGAGAGGAGATGGGAAAGGGAGACTGGAAAACTACGAGTCTGCCAGTGGCCTCATATATTGTCGCATCATTGTCACCTATATTAAGGGAGTCTAGTTCAGTCTTATGCAGGTTCCCCATGTGTCATATCTGAGTCAGTGATCTCTCACTGACTCGGGTCAGCTGACTATGGTCTTGACTCCTTTATTCATATTACTACTCCTCCCTCACTTCAATTCTACTTCAGGAGCTTGGCTTAATGGTTAGTTGTGGATTTTTGCATCTGCTTTCATCTGTTTCTGGAAGAGGGTTCTAGCTTCTCTGGGGTTGTGGATTGTAGGCTGGGTATTTTGCTTATGTCTGATAATCCACTTATGAGTGAATACATACTATATTTTTCTTTCTGAGTCTGAGTTACCTCACTCGGGATTTTCTTTCCTAGTAATTTCTCATAATTCTTAGAGAATAAATTGTACATGTAAAAAATATAAAAGTTATATAACACTTTATTAGTATTAAAAATACAAAGTGGGGCGTTGGTGACGCACGCCTTTAATCCCAGCACTCGGGAGACAGAGGCAGGAGGATCTCTGTGAGTTCGAGGCCAGCCTGGTCTCTAGAGCGAGTGCCAGGATAGGTTCCAAAGCTACACAGAGAGACCCTGTCTCAGAAAAAAAAGAAAAAAAATACATATAAAGCTGGGTTTGGTAATGGCTATTAGTTTGAGGCCAGCCAAGGGTATACAGTAAGACTTTGTCTCAAAACAAACCAAAAACAAGAAAACATATAAGCAGAAAATAGTTTGAAGCAACAGCAAAATGCCTTATATAATTCTTTTTGTGCATTTTCTAAAGTGCCAAAATAGAAATTGTCCTTGAACCCCGTGGCTTAAAAACTCAAAAATGTAGTTTATTGTAACCCTTTGTTACCTTCTAGAGTAAATTATTTGGAATAAATTAGCAATAAGTTAACAACCAGTCCTCTGACCTCCACATGTATGCACATATAAGGTAGAAAACTAAACAGTGTTTTCCAGTTCATAAAAACAGCAAGTGGTGAACCCAAACTCAGCCAAAGCAATGTCCACATTCACTGTGTATAACGTATGTACATCAGACGAAAGAAGACAGGAGCGTGGATCACAAAGGAAAACTTCACTATATGCTATTCACAAAAGATACACTTAAATAAGAAGACAGTCAAAATAGACACTCATATAAACAGGAAGCACCAAAAAGCAATTTGGTTATGTTAATGTCAGGAAAATGGGGTTTCAAGACAAATAATTTTCTTCCTGTAGTCCTAGAAGTTTACTGCCTTTCCACCCAAGATCTAACCCTGTGAGCTTACGATTATTTTTCTTGTCACTGTACAGTTATAGTTATTCACGGCAGGGAAAGTTTGGTACAACAGGACTGGGAAGCGATTAGTTATATTGAGTTGACAGACAAGAAGCAGAATGCTGAGACAGAAGTGAGGCTTGTTCGGTGACCCTTAAGACTTATAACTCCCAACGACCTACTTCCTAGAGCCTCCCAAATCCACCACTAGGGGACCAAGTATTCAATAGTGGGAGCTTGTGGGAACATGTCAGATTCAAATCAGAGTTGGACTCATCCTTTATTTATTTTTTTATTTATTTTTGTGGTCATACTTATTCTACTGTTTTGTGTATTTACTTGACTATATTTTAATTACCACTCCATCTGTAAGGTCTATGAAGTAGGGATTTTTGTTTATTTTTAATCATTGTCTCTTTATCATCATGGCACTGTTTTGTTTGGGGGGGATGATTATTTGGGGTTTTTGCTTGTTTTCTGTTTTATTTTGATATTTCAAGACAGGGTTTTTCTATGTAGCCCTGGCTATCCTGGCACTTGCTCTATAGACTAGGCTAGCCTCAAACTCACATAGATCTGCCTGCCTCTTCCTCCCCAGTTCTGGGATTAAAATCCTGTGCCTGAGGGGTGGAGGAGGAGAAAAATAAAATAAAATCCTGCCCCACCACCACCCAGCTATTTCTTATCTTTTTAGATTTTAAGATTTTATTTTATGTGTATGAAGTGTATTCGTACTTCATTCATGCCTCATGCCCAAGGAGGTCAGAAGAAGGGTGAATTCCTTAGAACTGAATTTACAGATTATTGAGAACCATGTGGGTGCTGGGGATGAAACCTAGATCCTCTGCAATAGAAACAAGTTCTCTCACCTGCTGGGCCATCTCTCCAACCCCATCATGGCATTGTTTCTTATGCACTTAAATTCTCAGTAGATGCTTGGAGAGTGAATGAATATAGAATGATGATTTAATGTATTTAAAGGGCTGTCTGGTTTGGATTTTGAGACATGGTCTCGTGTAACCCATGTTGCCCTTGGACTCGGTATCTGACCTTGAACTCCTGATCTTCCTGCCTCTACCAGCTGAGGTGTGGAATTACAAGCTTGTGTTACCCTGCCAAATTAAGGCTGTGTGTTTTGATGTAGAAATTTTTAATCTCTGTTCTAAAATGATAAAGTTTTAAAAAACCATCCAGAAGTCAAAACAGCATGTTTTCCTTTTTAATATAATGATTGATTTCTTCTTTCTCCACTGTAGGCCTGAGTTGGTTGTTAAAAAACTCCGATACTATGCAAGATTTATAGTAGTTTGCCTTCTTCTTAACAAAATGGATGTTGTGAAAGACCTGGTAAAGGTAAATAACCTTTTTTTATTTTTTATTTTTTTTAAGTAGGGTCTTGGTATACAACTCAGGGTAGTCTTGGATTTGTAATCTCTGTGAATTAGACTCTTTAGTGTTGAGATTATAAATGTATTGTAAGATAACTATAATCTAGCCAGGTATGGTATTGCATGCTTTTAATCCCAGCATTTGGAAGGCACTTGCTGCCCAGGAACACATGTAACCTGGGTTGTCTGTAAAACTGACAGGCTTCCTGCCTCAATCTTGAGTGTTCACATACCCAACTTGATGGCAGACTTTTTTTTTTTAAGATTTATTTATTATGTATACAACATTCTGCTTCCATGTATATCTGCACACCAGAAGAGGGCACCAGATCTCATTACAGATGGTTGTGAGCCACCATGTGGTTGCTGGGAATTGAACTCAGGACCTCTGGAAGAGCAGTCAGTGCTCTTAACCTCTGAGCCATCTCTCCAGCCCCAGACTTCTTAATACATTAAGTAGATCCTAATTTTCACAAGCCCATTGGAAGGAAATCTGTACTCTGCTGTCATCTTCCATCCTCAGCTACTAATTAGCCTATTTCCAAAGTATGATGTTAGGAATGCATGCATGCCATGTGCGAGGGTGGTAAGGACAGAGAGAGGAGAGAGGTGGGGAGAGAGACATGCCGCTGGAACTGGAGTCCAGAGCTGCAGCTGTTCCCACCGGACCTCCTGGGCACCAGCGTCGGGATAAAGAAAGGCTTAACAAACACACAACACAGACTAGGGTGCCCTATTCAGAATCTCAGATGATTAGCCAAATGACTCAGTCTCCCCCTACAAATAAAGAGGACACACACACACCCTCCGTCCCCTTACCTCGGTCGGATCAGTTCAGCTGCCACCCGAACCTTCACCCCAAACGAGGGATTGGGGCATCCCTTAAATCCCCTGTCTCCTGAATCCTTGTAGGCCTACTTACAGATCTCACTAGTGTGCCCAACATAGGACCTTTACATTTACACAATTAACAAAAACAACAGTCATGAAAACACAAAACTGACACACTGACACAGGACATTGCAGCGGACTGAGGGCCACAACAGATAGATAACAAACCTTTCTAACCAGCCAGTCAAACAGCCTGCTCCGACCTGCCAGGCTTCACAGAAACCAAAGAAAAACAAAGACAGAAAAAAACTTCAACAGCCAAAGACAGAAAAAAAAAACTTCCCCGGGGAAAACAGAAAGTTGCCTTGTGTGGCACGTGACTCAAAGAAAGGGGTGGGGGGTTGTGGTGGATTAGGATTAGGGTTGTTTATACTTTTTTTTTTTTTAAACAGGAGTTGAGTGAATTGTAAGAGGGAATTAGAGACAAAGATATTAAGAGGCAAGAGACTAGGCAAAGATAATGAATGAACTCTGCCTGGTGCTTTCAAATGTTGTACCAGTCCCAGGCTTGAAGGTGGAAAGGAGAGTATGGGCTAGGCTGCCAGCTCAGCACAGGGCTAAACCATGCAGGTCTGAGACTAGGTCATCTGACCTGTCTTGCCCTTAATAAAAATGGCTGTTAAGTATCTCTTTCAACCTCAAGCAAAGATGGTGGTGAGGTCATCTGACCTGCCCTTAGCCAAGATGGTACCTGCCCACGTGTTATAAGGTAGCTTATAGGTTTTAAACCGTATTAAGATGCACATAAAGGACACAGGCATTCAAAATCACAACAGTGTGACTTCACCATACACCATTTGTACATTCTTTCATACATAAGAAACAGAGAAGACAAAGTATTTCCAAGCAGACACAACCAGCATAATGCCTGAATCCTTACAAGAACAGAAAAGGCTTGGAGCAGTAAATTACACCTTTCCAATTATTGGATCACTGGTGAAAGTTGTTCAGGTCCTGTGCAATACCAGGATACGGAGTGCCCGATAAGCAGCCATTTGGAAGGCAGGGTTAGGCCCATTTCCATGAGTGAGGTAAGATCTAATACCTAATCTCCAACATCCCAGAGATCAAGGGAAGATCGGGTATGAGAGGCACAGGCTGATTTTTGTGTTTCATCAAGCACAGAAGCCAGGGCTTCTGAAAACCCGAGAACTGTAGCTGCCCAGTACTGGGGCATTGGGGGCGTGGGGGCAAATGTTGAGAAACCACAGTTGAGAAACAAATTCTCAGTCTTAGAAGCATGGACAGAGGTGGAGAGAGAGGGGTAGATTTACCAGACATGCCGTTGTTGAGTGTATAATTCCAGCAATACTTGGTTGGAAAAGTGACCAGGTTTCAGGGTCCCAGCGCACTTCAAGACTGTCAGCAAGCAGAGGAACCTCCAGGAGAACCTGCTTAGAAAGAAGGGAGGAGTATTGTAATCCAGGCACACCTAGCTCTGCCCCTTAGGGACCTGGCACTGGCAAAGAGGGTCATGGCAGGCAGTACCCTGGCTCACAAAGGAGGCAGACAAATCTCAAATCACTCTCTCTCTCTCTCTCTCTCTCTCTCTCTCTCCTCTTCCTCCTCCTTTCCTCCCCCTCCTCCTCCCCCCCTTACCTTCACCAATAAAAATTCCTTCCTATATAAGTTCTGCCTGTGTCATGTTTGAGAATCCGTGGGATTCTCCACAGTGCCACCTCAAGCCATAGTCCTAACGGTTAATGTTTATTAGTTTGTATTCAGGCAGTTCTGTTATTAAATTCATTGCTGATATAACATCAAGTAGGAAGTAGATCTTTATAAAGATTTTATTTGATGAGTATCATTCTGAAATTTTTTATTTTGAAGCAAAACTGTGTTTTTCATTCTTTGTTTTCTGTTATAATTTGGGTTGGATATTGATACTGATCAACATAATTCTTCTACTTTTTATCAAGAATATTATGATATAGCTGGTTTTATGGAGATTAATTTTTTAATTTTTATTGATTTTTGTGGATTTCACATCATGCATCCTGATCCCACTCATCTTCACCATTTAAAGTCATATGTAACAGGTCAAGAGGGCCTTGGCAGATGTGCCTATAAAGCCAGGCCTGGGTAAGTGAGGAGACATCCCGACTTCCCTTTGGGGCAGGTATTCAACCAAGGATTGGATTGACCAGCTGTCCAGTTGAAGATTGGATCAGCCTGCTGGGGAGGTTGCTTCCCATTCGTTTCAGGCCTTGTGGGATCCTCTAGCAATGGAGAGGAGTCTGGCCATTTGAGAAAGTTTGAAACTTCCAAGTCTTTGAGATGGGCCCTTTTGTGTGTGTGTGTGTGTGTGTGTGTGTGTGTGTGTGTGTGTGTGGTGTTGTCTTGATTCTGGCCATTTGAGAAAGTTTGAAACTTCCAAGTCTTTGAGATGGGCCCTTGTGTGTGTGTGTGTGTGTGTGTTATTGTCTTGATTCTGACACCCAGTGGTGGATTCCCCAGTTGCAGCAGACTTCAAGGCCATACCCAGGAAGCCCAGCAGGGGCCGGTGCATCACCCTCCCACCCTTTGTCCCCACCCTCCCTTGCACATGCTGGTTTTTGTACTTGGCACCTCACCGCAGCTGGCGCCTAACAATCCAATGCAAAAGCAAAGAGTCTTTAATCAATTAACGAGTTTACTGTATTAACTCAGGTCCTACATCCGTCTGACACAGTGGGTGGAGCAAGAAGGACCCAACGGGACTGTGGGGCAAAGAATTTATTGGGGTAGAGCAAGGGGAGTGTCTGGGGGTCCGCAACTCTCTCAGGATTGGTGCACTTCCAGGCTTGGGCAACCTGTCCTGAGTGGTCAGGAATGGTTGCTATGCTCAGAGGCCCTCCCAGGGAGGTTGCTATGCACTGCACTCCACTGTTACCATAAAGCACATCCAGAGCCCACCAGCTAACTTCTGTTTGGTTCCTTGCCACTTGGAAGGGTATCTGGCTTCCTAGTGACTGGAAGGTTGGACAAGGTCAGGAACTTAGCACATGTAGCTGAGTCAGAGGCCTACATCTTACTGGGTCTTTTCTGCAGCCTGTTATAGCTGCCAAAGCAGGGGGCTGGGTGGAGGTCTGGCCCCTTCATTTCCCCCTTCTAGAAGTACTGATGACAGGACCCAATCATGGGTCCTGCCTGCTAGGTGCTCAAAGGGGTAGGCCGTAAGAGCCATTAGCTGACAGATTTTTCTAGGGGAGTGACATTTGCATCTATTGCAATGTGTCCTCTATGTGAGGGAGTTTCCTTTTGATTAGCATCTCAACCAGGGAAAAGGGACAACATGTTCTTTTCTATGACTGCTTCCAGCTGACTTCTTGGCTACAACACACAGAAGAGCATGCACAGTACCTTGCTTTGGCAGAACACTAGACTTGACCCTGTTGGTAGGGGTTTAGGTGAGCCAGTACTGTGGATGTGAGAGCAGGAGAGCTGTCCCTACACCTTCCCTCATATGCCATGGGATGGCAAGGGTAAGGGAAATATGCCCTTCCCCCCACCCTTGCCGTGTGACAGGGTAGGGAGCATGAGAACAGAAGAATTGGCCCTGCCCACAAAGGAAGAGCTCATTCCTGGCTGTCTCACATCTGCAGCACGATGGAGACCTAGGGTAGGAAGCATGAGAACAGAAGAATTGGCCCTGCCCACAGCCAAGTGCAGCAGTCTGGAGAGCCAGCCCTGCATCTTGCCTGGACAAAACAGAGCTGCTTGTAGGTAGAACCATAGACGCAGACATGGTCTTTGGTAACATTCTGGGCCTGTATGTCTTTGTGGCCCTAGTTGGCATTGCAGGTCACCCAGATCAGTCCTGTCCCCCAAATGCCAGCATGTCCCCTGACTCTGGGTATCCACTCACCTTTCGATGGTAACAAGAGCCATGGAAATTAACACAGAACCTGGCTGCAGTAGGGCCATGGATCCAGACATGGCCTCCCACCACAGTTTGGGACCGAGTGATACCATGGCCCTAGGTGGCAACACAGGCCACCCAAGTCTGTATGGCTCTGGCACCAGCTTGACCCTGTAAGATCAACATAGTCTCAGGTGTCAGCCCAGACTGCCCTTGGTGGCAACAAGAGCAATGGACATCAACTCAGAGCACAGCAGCAGCAGGGCCACAGACCCACACATGACCCCCAGCAGCAGTCTAGGCTGGACATCACCATGGTTCTAGGTAGTAACACAGGAATCCTGGACCAGCATGGCTTCCCCCAACCCATAATGACAGCACATCCATTGAACATCAGCTTGGTCATAGGTAGTGGCCCGACTCCAGCATCCACAGGGTCCTCAATGGTAACAGGAGCCACAGACATTAACACAGATCCCCACAGCTGCATCAGGGTCACAGACCAAGTCATGGCCCATGGCCACAGTCCAGGCTCAGCCATCACCATGGTCCTGGCTTGGGCAAGTAGGGCATCTACCTCAGCCCATTCCTCAGCACCCTTCTCTGATCTGCCTCTCTCCCCTGCACATGAATACATGAATCATACTATTCTCATTCACTCTCTCTCTCTCTCTCTCTCTCTCTCTCTCTCTCTCTCTCTCTCTCTCTCTCTCTCTCTCTCTCTCATCTCCACCCTGTATTCACTCACCATAACGGTGCCCAACTGTCCAGAACTACAGGTGGTGGGCTCACAGGTGTATTTCTTCTCATCTGGGGTCTCTAGATGAGATAACATTTTTTACATTTATTTATTGTGTGTGCATGCATGTGCAAGCATAATAGTCACATAGGCGTCAGGTCAGAGGACAACATGCAGGAATTGGTTCTCTCCTTTTACTGCATGGGTTCCATGGATTGAACTCAGGTTGTCAGGCTGGATGGCAGGGACATTTACCTGCTGAGCCCATCTCAGTGGCCTTTTTACAGAGATTTTTAATAACCACTTTTCTTTGTGGTGTTTCTAATACCAGGAATTGTCAGATGAAATTGAAGATTATACTCATCGCTTTAATACTGAAGATCAAGTAGAGTGGAACCTAGTGCTTCAAGAGGTGGCAGCATTTATTGAGGTAATTTCTTCCTTCCTTTTTCTTCCTTCTCCTGCTTCCTTCTTTTTCTTTCTTCTTTCTTCCTCCTCTTCCTTTTCTTCTTTCTTCTTCTCTTTCTCCTCCTTTTTTTTTTTTTTTTTTTTTTTTTTTTTTTTGGTCAAGACAGGGTTTCTCAGTATAACAGCCCTAGCTATCCTGGAACTCACTTTGAGGCCCAGACTGGCTTCAAACTCAGAGCTCCTCCTGCCTCTGCCTCCCAGGTGGTAGGATTAAAGGCGTGCACTATCACACCCTGCCTATTGAGGTAATTTCTTGAGAAAAAAAAGTTGTCACAGTCACAGGTAGGAAAATGACTTGTGTTGTATGTTTATGGTGTGTATGTGACTTTGAGAAGAACAAATAACAGTGATGTTCTGTGTTGTCATTAACATGCTTCTTTTTTCTTCAGGCAGATCCTGTGATGGTGTTAAATGATGATAACACCATTGTTATCACATCCAATCGCCTCACTGAAACAGGAGCCCCCTTGCTGGAGCAAGGCATGATTGTGGGACAGTTGTCTCTGGCTGATGCACTCATTATTGGTAATTGTAATAATCAGGTAAAGAACTGTGAAGGAATTATGTTTAAAATTAACTTTGAAAAGGTTAGTTTTGCGCATCATGGAATTCTTCCATATACGATCCCTAACATGGCTGGGTGGTGGCGGCGCTCGCCTTTAATCTCAGCACTCGGGAGGCAGAGGCCAGTGGATCTCTGTGAGTTCGAGACCATCCTGGTCTACAAGAGCTAGTTCCAGGACAGCCTCCAAAGCCACAGAGAAACCCTGTCTGGAAACCTCCCCCAAGAAAGATCCCTAACATCTGTGAGGAATGGTTAAATCAATTATGCTGGGGCTTGAGAGATGGTTCAGAGGTTAAGAGCACTGACTACTCTTCCAGAGGTCCTGAATTCAATTCCCAGCAACCACATGATGGCTCACAAGCATCTATAATGAGATCTGGTGCCCTCTTCTGGCCTGCAAGCATATGTGCAGGCAGAACACTATACATAATAAATAAATCTTTTTTTTAAATTATGCCATCTATATGTAATGCTGGCTTTGAAATCATTGAGAATTTTTTTAAAGACATAGAAGGATACATATTAGTTTATTAATTTACCACTGAGCTATATCCCCAGCACAGTATTTATGAAGTATCAGTCACGTCTCCAGGGTGTGTGTGTGTGTGTGTGGCAAAAAAGACAAAGTGCCTTTACTGATGGATCTTCCTGTTAAAATGTAAAAAACAATTATTAACAAAATAGCTACTTAGATAACATTTCAACAGATGTGGCAAAGGAGATGTATACTGTTCTGATGTCTGACATCAGGGGATTTGAGCTAGTCTGAGGAGATGATGGGGTGTTTTTCTGAGAATGTACTTTGGTTAAGAACCAAAGAATAAGTTGTCCAGAGTAAGCATGCCAAACAGCAGTAACAGTTATGCTACTGTCTGAGCCTGGTGAGCTGGGAGGATGAGACATTGATAGAAGGCTGCACTTGGAGGGAAGGGGCTGAAGAGAACAAGAGGCACAGGAAAAGCCAGGAAGGTTGTCTTCCAAAGTGCACAGGAAACTAGCAAAGGGCCAGGGCAAAGAGGGGAGCTGCTGAGGGCTTGCATTTTGAGAATGTAGTTTTTAATAACTTTTATTATTTATTAGTTTTTAGGTTTTAGTTGTCAGAAAAGTAATGGGTTTCATTATTACACTTGCATATGTACATATAGATAAATGTAGATACAGCAGCATACATTGCTGCTGTTCATCCACCTCCCCTGGAGAGGATCATCTGGGGTGGAATTGTGCAGAGTAGACTGGAGATGCAATGGAGTTGGCAGAAAGTTAGGAAACTCACAGAAATCTCAGAGAGTGGTAATATTTTCTTGTGCTACAGAACAGAGGTAATATTCGATCTGCAAAGCTGGTTTATACAGATACTTGGGAGGTACAGTCCATAGTATTGATATGTCATGGCACATGGAAGGAAAGAAGAGTGAATGTTACTTTTTTTTTTTTTTTTGCTTCATTGTACAGGTGTATATGTACTGTAAGCTATTGCTCTGGTGACCCTGCTTCCATGGTTTGGCCTAGGGAAAAAAATCCACCTATAAAGAACTAGAGAATAATTTAAGTGCTAGTGAGGGCTGGAGATGTTGCTCAATTGGTAGAGAGCCTATGTGCTCATAAGGCCCTGACTTCCAGCCCAAAAGCTACAAAAAAAAAAATGGGGTCTCGTGGCATATAACTCTGACCCCAGCACTATGAAAGTTGGAGCAGTAGCAGGAAGTTGTCTTTGGCTGTGGCCAGATACATGAGACCCTCTCTCAAAACAAAAAAAAGGGGGGGGGTAGTATTAGTGAGTGACTGAGGAGTCCAAGGACTAAAGATAGTTAAGTCAGCTCTGAGAACATTGCTATCTGCATTCAGAGTTGATAAAGGCCAATAGGCTTGAAGTGTGGAATGTATATGCCCTGCTGACATGACAGTAGGTCTTTAATAGTGGTTTGGTGTGGTAGCACACACTTGTAATCAGGCACTTGGGATTGCAAAGGCAGGAGTATTAACTGTAACTTAAGGCCAGCCTTGGCAACCTAACAAGTCTGTCTTTAGTAGTAGTCATCATAGTCGTAGTCACAGTATTTTTGAGATAGCATCTCCCTATGTAGCCCTTGCCGTCCTGGAACTCTCTATGTAGACTAGGCTGGCCTCGAACTTTGCCTCACAAATGCTGAGATTAAGAGCATGTTTGAACTGAGCCTGGCTATAGATTTTACAAAGTAGAGTCAGAGATAGGTTGACAAACAGTAGTTTATTAGGGAAAAGTACTCACGCAAAGGATCCAGTGACCAGGTTTGCGCCGGAGCAGTTCAGACCCTGAAATGCTTCCTAGTCAGCTCAGCCAGGAGAAAGAGAGCAAGCTGTGTGTGCCTCCCTCCTCCTTAAACCCTTATTATATAACTGACCACACCCACTTGGTCAACATCTTTAATCAGGGTTTTTCCCTACACCTGCCTTTGCTTCTCAAGTGCTGAGACTAAAGGTGTGTGTCACCGTTCCTGGCAAAACCCTGTCTTCGGAAACAAAAGAGTAACCAAACTAGCAAACTACCTCAAAAATAGGAAAATAAGAAACTGTAAATTGGGGGTTAGATATATGCCTCAGAGGACTGGGTTCAGTTCCCATCACCCACATGGCAGCTCACAGCTATCTGTAACTCCAATTCTAGGGAATCTGACACCTTCACACCAATGTACATAAAATAAACTTAAATTATTTTTTTCAAATTTTTGGGGGTCTTTTTTGGTTTTGTTTTGTTTTCCGAGACAGGGTTTCTCTGTGACTTTGGAGGCTGGCTATCCTGGAACTAGCTCTTATAGACCAGGCTGGTCTGGAATTCACAGAGATCTGCCTGTCTCTGCCTCCTGCGTGCCAGGATTAAAGGCATGCGCCACCACTGCCCAGCATTAAATATTTTTAAAAAAGAAAGAAACTCTACACTCTGCTATGTGTAGAGCGTGTTCCTTGGAACACAAAAAAAAGCCAAGCGTGGTGGCACATGCCTATAGTCACAGCCTGTGGAAGGCAGAAATAGGTGTTGAGGCCATCCTGGACTACAGAGTACGACCCTGTCCAAACAAACTGAAAAAAAGAACGAGTGAGACTCCTAGTATTGGTTCTGTCTTAAGAGTTTGCTCTTGGTTACCTCCTCTGACAGCAGAAGGACAGAAAGCCAGGTTGTTGTCTCCTTACTTTGTCTAGAACTTGTTTCGTCCTATGTGTAGAAGTGATGGGTGGTGAACAATTTGAGGCTGTGATGCAGTTTTGTAGCAGTTTTGTAAATTCACTGGTGTGTTGAAATGCTAAATGTTTTCAGAAATACATGTATTAATATTTTTATTGATAATTTTTTTTAATTTCTTTTTTATCCTGTGAAATTTTGAATGAGGAGAAATAGAGTTTTTGCTGATCTGCTAAAAAGAGATATTAAATGGGGTTAAGATGAAGCTTAGTGGTAGAGCATGCATGAGGCCCCTGATCCTGATCCCAAGCACTGTATTATGTATGTATGAATGAGGTACATTTTTATTTTGATTTTAGGAACAGAGCCCATCTCTGTGTAGTCTTGGCTACCCTAGAACTCTTTGTAGACCAGGCTAGCTGAAAACTCACAGAAATCTGCCTGCCTCTGCCTTCCAAGTTCTGGGATTAAAGGTGTGATACCACCACCCAGTCTGAGGTGCAGTTTTGAAACTTCGGTGAATAATCTTTCTAAGCAAATACCTTAACTAAAACATTTCTATTTTATTTTATAGAAAAAGATACCTTTAAACCTCTCCTCTTGGTTCTGTCATCCCATGTCCTTACAAGAGTGTACGTTTTTTTTGTTTGTTTGTTTGTTTTTTTTTTAATGTTCACTGTTTTGCCTGCTTGTATGTCTGTGTAAGGGTGTCAGAAGCCCTGAAACTGAGTTACAGACAGGTGTGAGTTGCCATGTGGTTGCTGGGATTGTGGAATTGAACCTGGGTCCTCTGGATGAGCAGCCAGTGCTTTTAACTCTAATCCATCTCTCCAGCCCCATGAGAAGAATGCACTCTTAAATGCTGTGTAGTACCAAAACATTGAAGAAATTATAAAGTATGAATTTTGACATAGCTCAGCTTAAGCAAATGTTACCATGTTTTGTAAGACTGTTTTTGTAGCTTTTATTGCCTTTTAAAATCCATCTGAGGAAACTGATGCATTATGAACAACCTAAACATTGTTAATTATACAAAGTAGATAGTGAGCATAGGGGTGTCACTGCACATTTCTTCTGCCATATTTGCCTTTTGAAAATATTGTAATTAAATGTTTGAGAATAAAATATGAGCTGTCTCTGGACATAGTGGTGCATGCCTTTAATCCCAGCACTTGGGAAGCAAAAGCAGTCTCTCTGAGTTCCAGGCCATTGTGGTCTACATAGAAAATTCCAAGTCCTCCATGGAAACAGGGTAAGAACCTGTCTCAAACAAAGAAAAACCCCAGCCCACCATAGACAAAGAACTACAGGCAACTAAGGAAAGCTGACTGTGGAAGAATAGTCCTCCTTGGGGATGTATTCCCTAATTGGTTATCCAATACCAAGTGGTCAGCTGTGAAATCATATACATACAAGTAGCACTAAATGGACTGAGCAGGTTGTATTTATGTGTTTAGATGCATACACATTAACACATACACCAATAGCAACTACAGAAAAAAGAGGCCATGATTTCAAGAAGAAACAAGGCCAGTGGTACATAGAAAGGATTGGAAGGAGGAAAGGGAAGTGGGGTGAAAATGGAACATCTACATTAAAAATGAACATACATATATATATATATATATATATATACATATATATATATATATATATATATACATATATATATATATATATCAGTTATTATTAAGTATACTTGAAAATCAAGAGTAATAATATGATTAAAGACCAGAAGTTAAGCTGGGCGGTGGTGGCATACGCCTTTGATCACATCACTCAGAAGACAGAGGCAATCATATCTCTGTAAATTCAAGGCCAGCCTGGTCTACAGAGAGAGTTCCAGGGCTACACTAATTTTTTTTTATAAAAAGATCAGAAGTTCTGCTTATTACATTGATGACCAGGTATATTTTTCTTACAGGTTAAATTCAGTGAACTGACTGTTGACATGTTCCGGATGTTGCAAGCCTTGGAGAGGGAGCCAATGAATTTAGCTTCCCAGATGAATAAGCCAGGAATACAGGTGACCTTCTGCCCACATTTACCAGAGTGGTAACTTTTACTGCTTTGGATTCTCTTACACGTATAAATAAAGAATTCTCTCAAGCCTGCCATAGGTGCCTCACAGCTGTAAGGCACCCTAGAAGGCCAAACAGTAGAATTGTTGCTTGTTAGAGGCTGGCCTGAGCTACATAGTGAGTTCCTGTGACAAAACTGAAAGAGCTCTCAAAAAGACAGAGAAGTTGATCGGCACAATTCTAAACACTGAATAAAATTAAAGTGAGAACATTTGCTAAAAAGAATAGAGACTGTTGACTCTGATAGCTGTCATATAACACTTACATGTCCGTTTGGGTATGTCACCATAGGAGTCAGCTGACAAGCCCACCAGACGAGAAAACCCCCACAAGTATCTGCTCTACAAACCGACTTTCAGCCAGCTGTATACTTTCTTAGCAGCATCTTTTAAGGTATGTCTGGTCCAGTCTTTTCTTCTGCAGTGGGGAAAGTGTGCTCATGGTGGACTTGGTCATTCTTCAGATGCCTAACTTAGTGTGTAGTGATCTATGAACATGTACAAATGATGTTCCAGTCATGATTCTGACCCTTGCTGTTTTGGGAATGGTAGCTGCTGATGATGAGTAATTTTTTTGGCATCAATCAGAGACTATTGGTTAATTATCATTCTCTCCCTTCCAGATTTTTATTACTAAAGTTTAACTTTGGGCTTAACACCAATACAAAACTGAAAAACAAGAACAGAATGTGTAGCAGCCATGTGCTCAGGCAGCTCTGTGAAACATTGTTACAATCTGATAGAAGTATGTGGTAAATGCCTATAATCCTGCTTTTGGACAGGAGTTGGAAGGCTTCTCGGGCCACACACTAGCAAGTTCAAGGGCAACCTAGATATATCAGTGCACAGCAAAGTTGAGGCCAGTGTGGGCTCCATGCAACCTCAAAAAAAAAAAAAAAAAAAAAAAAAAAAAAAAAAAGAACGAAAAGGAATGATGGGAATTAGGTGGGATCTCCCCAAAATTTATGTAGAGAAAGGTATGGAGGGGAGTTTGCCCTTTTTTTTCCCCAATGGAGATCTCTCTCCATTTCATGTTTTCAGAGAACATGCTCTAACAGATGGGGAGTTGCAAGTGGAAAATAAGTTCACAGCTTTGGGCAACAGTTAGGCAATGTAGATTATAGTGAATTTTACCATCTGATCTTAAATTGGAACAATGGGAATATGATAATTCTCTTGGAAATGACAGCAGTGTGCTAAACGATATCACTTCCCCCACAGCCCTAAATTGCCCTGAACTTTAAATAAAACTTTGTTTTTTCTGTCTGTGGTTTTGTGTGTGTGGTTTTCTTTCCTTTCAGGAGCTGCCTGCCAATAGTGTGCTTCTGATTTACCTGTCAGCCACTGGCGTTTTCCCCACAGGTCGTTCTGATGGTGAAGGTACAATAAAGGAATGCTCCCACCGTGAGCAGGGCTTGAATTCTCTCTATTTTCTACAAGACAATGGCCCACAGCCCAGAGACCACCTCACGCTTTCTAGAGAACCTTCCAAATTTAAAACCTGTTCTGTTATTTAGTGACAATGTTGAAAAGAACGTGCTTAACTCTCCACGTTCAACTGTTACCCCTTGAAATCCAAATATCCTGAAACAATACATAGATCAAATTCATACTTTGCTATCAAATCTGTCAGAAACCTCATATGTAGATTTATGCATATAGAGTTGAATGTTTGACATGGCAAAGGATTATGGAATCTGCCAACCCATTTATTTGACATCATTGATCATTGTAAGCTTTTAATACATTTAGGGATCTGGTCAGAGGCAACAATTATGGCCGAAAGTCTTAGTAGAAATCAGTGTACGTTTGTAACTGTGAAAGTTCAAGTCCTTGTTATGATTTTTATTTTCAGTCCTTTTTTATTTTGTTACTATTGATTCAGCTCATGAAATATTGGGGTGCTGTTTCAGAGTAAAACGTGAAAGTGTCAGAACATATGAGCTCAGAAATTGTTCAGACTAATGAACAACTTATATGTAAATGAAGGAATTAAATCTTAGGAAAAAATAGTTTAACATTTTCAACATTTTCCTCCTCATCTGTCTGTTGGAATTGGCATTCCTTTATAAAATGCATGACCCACCATCTTCCTTGCATGACCTACAAAGTAGTAAAATGTTACAGTGGAAACAAAACAGAGCAAATCTCTGTAGTCTTTATGTTGCAGTGATGTTTTAAAGGACTGTAATCCAACCGTGATATGAGGGGATGGGGCATAGTGGAACACTAATGGGCAGATACAAGGGAGGAAGAAAAAAAAGACAACATCAGTAACTGCCTTAGTTCTTATTTAAATGTTAGTCACTTTATATTTAAGTATCTCTTGTTTGAAAACATGTTATTAAAGCACCTATTCTGGGTCTCAAATTAGACTATTGGCCTCTATTTTACATTTTGTAGTCGATCTAGGTTCTAATTGAATGATCTTTTCTCAGATTATCTGAACATCTCACAGTCACTGTTGAACTTCAATTCTTATGACTAGTGTGGAAAGGCTAACATGGAAACCATAATTAAAGAGGGTTACATAATAGTAAAATAGTGGATTTTCCATGTACTGGAATTTGCCATAATATTTCATAAAAATAAAGTTTTGTTAATCAGAATTTTCAAGTTCAATTTTAAATTTTCTTTAAATCTTACACGTAGTAGTCAATTTAAAATGTTTACTGGATCAGATACAATAGTGTCCCTGTAGTGCCAGTTACTCAGGATGCTAAAGCAGGAGGATCACTTAAGCCTTGCAGATCAAGACCAGCCTGTACAATATAAGAAGAGTCCTGAATCTTGAATACATATATTGGGGGGGGGGGACTGCAGTTTACAAGTTAGCAGCTTTCTCTGTGAGGTACTTTTGTTAAACCAGAGATTGAAATTTTGTTCGAAGTGTAAATGTTATTTTAAATATCCCAGGTCTCCATCCCTTTTTACCACACAAATTAGTGGGATGCTGTAGATTCTTGGTTTTGTTGTTGCTGAGTTGTTTGGTTGGTTTTGTTTGTTGTTTGTCTTTTGTTGTTGTTGTTTTGCTTTGTTTTTCTCAGTCTCTCTATGTAGCCCTGGCTGTCCTGGAGCTCATTATGTAATCTGGCACAGGGATCCACCTGCCTCTGCCTCCTGAATGCTGGGATTAGAGGGATGTGGCAACATGCCTGGCTGTAGATTCTTACTTTGTTTCTTATTATATTCTGTTTGAAAAGCTGGTATACAATTAAGTGATTTTTAAAAGCATTGAAGTAGGCAATGTGCTGAAAATATGAAAATATTGCATTACAGTAAAATGTTAAAGATTATTTAAATGTTTTGTGCTTATATTATACTTGTATCAAAGGGAGATTCAGTGATACTCTTGCATATGAGCTTCAGATCAGTCTGTGTTTCCCTCCTGTTGAATTCTAGGTTTGTTTTCTTTGTTCTTTAGGTCCTTACGACTTTGGAGGTGTTCTTACTAATAGTAACCGAGACATTATAAATGGAGATGCAATCCACAAACGAAATCAATCCCACAAGGAAATGCACTGGTATGTATTCTAGTGTTTCTTTTTATGCTATGGATCAAAACTCTTTAAATATTAAGATAAATGGGAGCTTCATTTTTCGACTAGACAGATTCCCTTAGACTAATGTTGATAGCACTTGTTTGTGAAGGCTTGCTTGCTGTTTTTATAGCACAGAATTCCTTTAACTGAGAAGAAAATTCTGCTTTTAATGAACAGTGGGTTTGTCTGATAATACTTTACATTAAATATCAACTGTTTATACTGAAAAATAGATAAAGAGGAAACCAGGCCTGTGTATGTTCATATTATTCATGCCATAACTAAAGTTTCCCCAAGCCACATGTGGCAGTGTTGCTCACCTTAGTTTGAAATCATTTATTTTAGAGCATGTAACAGATATGTGAGTGCATGCACAGCATCACTAATCATCTCATAAGTGCCCATTAAAACCATGAGAAGTTATTACTTAGCATCTGTTCGGATAGTTGTTCACAAGACAAGTATTGTTGAGGATATGAGCATCTTGAAGACTATTGTGAGAATATGATTTGATTGTACAATTATGGAAAATAGTATGGCTATTCCTCAAAATGTCAAAATAAGGCCATCGAGATGGCTCAGCAGGTGAGTGCACTTGCCACCAAGCTTGATGACCTAAGGTCAATCCCGTACACTTACAGGGTAGAAGGACTGAACTAAATCTCCACAGATTTAGTTGTTCTCTGACCTCCACATGAGCACTGTGGTGAAGGTGTATGGTGCATTGGGGGGAGAGGGGGGAGAAAGAGAGATCACACATACAAAATAAATACATGTTAGCAAGTTTAAAATAGGCCAAGTATAATGGCATATGCCTATAATGCTAGCACTTACAAGTACAAGACAGTCTGTGTGGGCTACATAGCAAAGCTATTCATGTCTCCAAATGTATGAGCAGATGAATAAGTAAATACATGAATAAATTTGAACTATACAGCTGAGGAGGTGGCTCAACAGTTTAAGCCCTTGCCACAAAAACAAGAGAACCAGGGTTTGGATCCCAGAACCCATGTAACTGTTGGGTGTGTGGGGGCCCCACATGGGGAAGGAGAAACTCATGCAGCAAGCTGGCTTCCCAGACTACACATCTCAGCATGCTCTGGGTTTGATTGAAAGGCTGCCTCAAATAATAAGGAAAAAAAAATGGTTTAAGAAGATTCCCAACATTAACCTCAGGCCTCCATTCATGCCCAACACACACACAAAGAAGAAGAAAAGCAGACTGTAAAAAAGTAACCCCATTTCTTGGTCTATATCTAAAGGAAATGAAATTATGTCACTTAATACCCTATCTCAACCAGATGCCTGCACTCCATATTCACCACAAAATTACTTACAATTTAGAAATAACCTATTGAGAATTGGCCATGTAGTTACAAACTTCCTCACTGTTTTTTTGTTTTGTTTTGTTTTGTTTTCTGCAGCCTTCATCCTGGAGATCTCTATCCATTCACACGGAAACCCCTGTTTATCATTGTGGACTCCTCCAACAGTGTTGCCTATAAGGTGAGTCCCTGGAGAGCTAGTGTGTGTGCCAGGTATATAGCACTAGCCCCAGGGTCCTCGTTTTTTAACATGTGCCCTTTTATTTTGCTTTGTTTTACTTATTTAATTTTACAGTTTGTATTTAGTGTTTCTTTTCTTTTGAGGTTGTGCATGCTAGTCAGGATCTGATGCTATGAATAGAAACAAGAAGAAACGCATGAATGGACTCTCAGTGGAAAATAATAAATCCTCCTGCAGAAAAAAAAATTTCAAGATTTCCAAGATCTCTGGTGGGAGGTTTATTTTTGTTATATAACCCCGAATGTTTTCTTTACAGAACTAGAGATGATATGGGAGGCTTATTTTCTAGTTTTTAAACACTGCATTTCAGCATATCTAACTTAGTTTAGATGAAACTCCATCTTATGTTACATAGTGATGATCTTGAATATTAACAATTTTACATGTGCTTTGTTTTTTTCTTGACTGAGCCTGAATGTTGGAGTGACAGTGGTTTAACCAGGAAATACTTTTGCAATATTTTGCTATTGAAACAAATCCTTGGGGGCTGGAGAGATGATTCAGTGGTTAAGAACACTGACTGCTTTCCAAAGAACCCAGGTTCAGTTTTCAGCACCCACATGGCAGCTCACAAATGTCTGTAACTCCAAGTTTTGACACCCTCACACTAAACACTAAACACCAGTACACATAAAATTAAAAGAAAGGAAGAAACAAATCCTAATCTACTAGATGTCATTAAAATTCAAGCTGTAATCATTTAAAATAAACCAGACAGGCCTCTTTTATGTTGTATTCGGGTGTTTCATTAGGGAAAAGCATGTCTACATTGAGCTGGGTGCTTGTTTCTGCTCCTGAAAGTTCCTTCTATTGTGGTTATCAACATGAGTGGGAAAGCAAACATTAGTCAGTTTATTCTAGCATGGCAGTGGAAATGGCTTTGTAGCCAAGAATGGTTACCCAACATGTATGCTTTCTGTTTTCTCATGTTTAGTTTCATTTTAAAAATAAAACATGGTCAGGTGGTGGTGGCACACGCCTTTAATCCCAGCACTGTCCTGGAACTAGCTCTGTAGACCAGGCTGGCCTTGAACTCACAGAGATCCATTTGCGTCTACCTCCCCAGTGCTGGGATTAAAGGCTTGTGCCACTGCCTCATGGCTTGTCTCTATTTCTTTTTGCCTTTTTTATATAAGACCATATTCAGAGTATCATAACCCTTGCTTGTCTGGTTCTGTTTTAGAATGGAGACAAGAAACTGGGTGAGTGGATATGACTTGTCATATTTGAGATGGATCATTTAGTTGGGCAGTAAACTCTTACATCAGGTCTTTAGGTCTTCCTTTATGCTTATATCATATTTATCAGATAAAGCCCTCTGCCTAGAAGATAAAGTTCTGAATGTCAGCATATGTGTAATTTCCCTGATGAGTACCCTATGGCTATTTGGATACATATATCTTTGTCCTCCCCCACCTCACATTTAAGATTCTTAATTAATACATGGTGAATGTCTGTTATCCTTATCTTCTCCATAAGGAATCTTTATGCTAAGGATTAAATGTCCTTCTCATTTCAAATTCCTGTTCTTTCCACTCTTGGAAGAAAAGGAGCTTTGCGTGCTAGTATGAGCTTCCTGGCAGAAGGAGGAAGTGATTGATAAACCAAGATCTGTGTGACAGCAGTGACCCATATTTTGCCTAACATGTTTCCATTAATTTTAAAGTGGACATTTCTCTGTGGTAATGTACCACTAGCTGGAAATAAAATTAAAAAAAAAATTTCCCAGTAACCTTAGGAAATTCTTTTTAATTCTTTCCTTTTCGGGGAGGGGGGAAGATTTAAGTGCTGGGTCTCTGCCATTGCAAATGGCTGTCAAAAGCAGGTTATCATGAAACAGCCTTTGTAACATGAAAAATCAGTGACCCAGTGACTGATATTGAGGTTCAACCCTGAAGGTCAGGGAAGCAAAGAAGCATCCACTAGATCTCACTTCATGCTCAGGCTGGAAGGGCTGAGCCACACACAAGCTCTTCACCAAGTCTCAGACTGCTGCACCTCCTCAGCATGGCTAGAGAATGAATGCCTCATACTGAATCTGTTCTTGTCTTAAATACCTCTTTTGAGTCCTGGGATTAAGGGTGTGATTTTAGACTGTTTTAATCTTTTTTTTTTTTTTTTTTTTTTTTCTGGTTTTTTGAAACAGAGTTTCTCAGTGGCTTTGGAGGCTGTCCTGGAACTAGTTCTTGCAGACCAGGCCGGTCTCGAACTCACAAAGATCCACCTGCCTCTGCCTCCCAAATGCTGGGATTAAAGGCGTGCATCACCACTGCCCGGTGACTGTTTTAATCTTATGTAAACCTGGGTGGCCTTGAACTCAGAGAGATCCATCTGTCTTTGTCTCCTGAGTCCTGGGATGAAAGGTGTGTGCCACCACTGCCTGACCTCTATAGCTTGTGGCTGACTTTGCTTTCTGAATCCTCAGGCAAGCTTTATTTATTAAAGCACAAATAACATATCACTATAAGCCTTAGCCTAAGTTTGATGTATGCAAATTGCTTGTACTCTTGTATGACTATTACCACATAGTCAATTACACCTGGTCCCCTGCCAGCTGCCCTCAAGTTCTAGGGTTCCATTTCTTTCTTGTTCTTTTGAAATTCCTTCTCTTAGCTTCTTATACTCAACACTTAATCTGTAGTGATTATACTTTTGTTTGAACATGTCAGGGTGTGTTAAACAATTTGAACTGTTGGGTTGTTCATTCATTTATGATAATGACTGTTCTCAGTCATTATCTCTTTATTTGCTGACTCTTGAGCCTCTTTCCCATTATAGTTTACTATTTTAGTCTTTGCTTTTACTTGTTTGAGATTAATAAGCACAAGAACACACATGCACACATTTATTACCCTTTAATCCTTAAAATTGGGAGGAGTTCATGAGAGCCTAATATGAAGGAACCTTCAGTTTCAGGAGGTTTGCATTTGCTTGTATCAAACATCTAGAAGTACTACCAGCTTAGGATCCTGTTTGCGGTATCACCTTTGCAGTGGATACTTACGCTACAGGTATGTAAGAGAGCTGACAACCTGCAAGAACTAATTTAGGTGAGCAGTGTCTGTTGAGCTCAGCACCAAGAAACATTGCCTTACCATTCTGTGAGAAATTGTCCTAGTGGGAAGACATGTGAGGTTGATTTTACTTCATTCTTGCTTTAAAGGAATAGCACTGTAGGGTTCTTCTCTAATGTGAGCAGATATGGATCCCTGCCCTTTTCTGGGTGTGCCTTTTGAAACTTAAATTCAAGTAGCTAGTTTGTCTTAGACCACACAAGGTCTGGAATTAGCTCATTTGCCCAGTCTCTTCTAGTGGTTTTTCCTCATATCTCTGACCATCTTTGGAGTGTCCCTAGGTTCCAACCTGTTAGTCTTATTTTCCAGCCATAGCTGACTCCCTTGGTGCTCATTCTGTTTCATGTCTTAATTACTGTACCCCCACTGGCTTCTTGGCAAGACCTCTCTCTAGAACTCCACTTATCATCATCTACCTACTTTGTGGATCTAACAAGGGCCTTTGGGGTCCATCCCCAAAGTCCCCTCCAGGATTCAGATTGGATGCTACAGCAAGCTAAAGGCACTTTTTTTCTTAGTGTATCTGAGGGCAAATGAATTCTCTCACATGTGTGCTGTTCCAAACATGTCTCTTTATTGTTCTGCCTCTATTCTAATTCTCCTGTTCTAATTCTAATTCTTCATAGCTTCTTCTCTATCCCTAAAAACTCTCCATAGGAGGCTTGGAACAATAATAATAATAATAAAATTACAAGAGTTACCTCTCATTAGTCAAAAGCCCATTCCTAGGTTAAGCGATAAGGAACTGAGCCATTCACCATGGCAACACAAGGTTCCAAGGTTACAGGAGTAAGACTGACCAGACCCGGGGTTGAGGGGGTTGGGGAGGACAGTGCCCAGTGACAAACTTTGAGACATAGGTCTATTGTCAGCAGACTTGGCAAGTAAAGAATGCTCTTCTTGGGGTGCTTTATGTAGCAACCTTGGTTGGACATCTGCTACTCTGACCTTGTGAGTAACTGTGAAGTTTTAAACTTACGATCTATTTACAGAAAGCCTTTAGTCTAGTTTGAACTTGTTCTGAGGTAAAAATGAGCTAATTGTATGCAGTTAGTCTGAGCAAAAGGAACAAAGCAGGCTTTTAAGCTTCCTGGGGCAAATAGATCTAGATATGAAGCATATCCTAGTATATTTTTTATATATCAAAATTATACAGATAAATGAAAAATCATTTTCCTGACCACCCACAGATATGTGTGCCAATAGGATTGAGGTGTAATCATGAGATTACATATACTCATCACATGAGATTACACACTACAATGCAGGTATTGGAGAGACACCAAGCTACTTTAGCAAATGTAAGCAACAGTTTCCAGAGTCAATGGGCCTCCAACATGTATACAGTTGGAAATTCTTCAAACAAGTGCAAACAGAAACAACCATACCCAAGACAATGCTATACCACTTCAGACTCCAGACTCCCTATCTCAGTTGGTGCCTGTTTTGCTTTTATAATTATCCCAGCTGCATGTTGTGGCTTCATTCTTAATGTTATTCTCCTTCCTTCCTTCCTTCCTTCCTTCCTTTCTTTCTTCATTCCTTCCTCCCTTCCTTCTTTCCTTCCTTCCTGTATCACATGCATTTCATGCCATTCCTCTGATCCGTGTCACTGTTCTCCCTCACCTGAGTTATTGAAGTAGCTTCCCAGCTAGGCTTGCTTATTCTTCCTTCTTTACCTCTCACTTCCTGCATGTGTACCTATGTGTTGAGATAAACCGTCTCTATTCAAACTCTCCTATGGTGGCTTATCTCACTCAGAATAAGACACATGTGGACACACAGGTATCTTTGACCTTCTTTGCCAATCTCTTCAGCTACATTATTTCCTTCCTGGTCCTTGTCTTAGTTAGGGTTTCTATTGCT